TGAGCATCCATACTCTTTTCAGGTGGAGTTATTTATCTTCAAGTACATAGACTTTGGGCACAGATTTGCAAGCAGGAGAAGGTAGGCCAACCTTCAGTTTTATCTGAATATTAGAAGAACTTTTACGAAACCCTAGCCAATCTTAACACCTCTGACCTTGGGCTAAATATAATGTAAATTACTTAAGCATAAATAAAGATTGATTATTGATAGTTGAGAATATTCCTTGCAAAAAAGGTTAACTATTGGATTAAACGCTAAAAACTTCTGTACTTTCAACATTCTTCAGAACTCCCGGACTTACTAGGCACAAGAAAAACATACTTTCCTAATTAAAAAAAAAAAATTATAGCCAAACCAGTATTTTTCCTAAATGGTTTCCCATTCAATAGAGTAAGTATAGAAATAATTATGGCATATTAAAGTAATTCAATAGGATCACAATCACAGTAATTAATCTACAAGTGTATTTTTATAGAAAAAATTAGTTTAACTACAAAACGTTCAGTGAATACAATATGCATTTATCAACTATCATTAGTATGTGATGTTTTGGAAATGCATGGTGCAAACTGGAAAATTTCAGTGTGCCTCCAGTATGGGTGTGTATATGAGCATATATGGGTGTATATATGAGTATAAATACCAGAGACATACACATATACACACTTCCATTACTGTTAATATCTACCATGCAGGTTCCTTGGTTTTGCAAATGAAGAATCTTTCCCATTAAATGTATAGTTGCCACCTACAATTCCAGGCAGGCAAACTTTTATCCTCTTGGAAAAGGCATGCTATTACCACTGCGTATCCGTTTGCCCTTTACTGTGTGCAAGTTTCACAAAATGAATTTATAAAGTGAATATTGCTGATGCCAAAGAAAAGGCACCTTAAGCATTTCATATTACTTCACGCATCTGACTGTTGACCTGAAATTACCCATCTCTATTACATTTTTCTTGATATCCTCCTAGATATGCATCATAGACCAAATCAGATTTTTTAGCGTGCTTTAGCAGTTCTCCATTAGCGACAACAACTAATTTATACGTTCTAAGGCCTGTAACAACCCTTTGTCTGTACCTGTCTTATTGCATCTGCATCCTGTTTCTGCCACGCCTGCAAATCGAGCACAGCCTGGGCAGTGCCGAGTGCTGAAGCAAAGCTTACACTTGTACACAGTTTGTTGCACCTCTCAAGAATGATCTCCACATTCAACATTTGGAATGAAAGAAGGAGCAAGGAGAAGAGTAGCAGTCTAGGACTGGGGACAGATGAGTGACAGCCTTCAGATAACAGGAAGCTCCAGTTATCAGAAATAAGGGAATGCTGTCAGGGCACATTAGAAGTTAAAACAAAACGAAAACCAACAAAACCCCCAAAACAGGGAAAAAACCCAAAGGCCAGGGACAAGAGAGAGATGCTCTGAAATGGAGCCAACGGCAAACAGCTCTCCATACCATGTCAGACAAGAAACACAAGGGGAAGAATGCGTGGTGTAAACAGGACAGCAGCCAACCACCAGCGGGGTTTGCCATGTGCATTGAAAACAGCATCTGTGCATACCAGTATGAGGGGAGGAGAGGGGAAAGAAGAGACAGGAGGAAACAGATCTCGAAGAAAGAGAGGCAGGTAACTACATGCCAAATTTGAATTTCAAAGCTAGCGAGATCTAACCCATAGGATATACCAATTTGCTATTTCTAGTCAGGAAAAAAAAAAGATTTTGTCACATAAGGAGTTGCTACTAAGATGATAAATACTGTGAGGTAGACCAACTCAATTTGTATCAGCTGATCTAACAGACAAGTACTGTCAGCCAATAAGTGGAAGTCAGGCTCTCTACAATTTACTTTTTTCTTTCTTTTCTGAATACAGAAGCACACACTAAAGTAATAAACCTAGGTCTGAAACTATGACTATCCCAGTTGTTCAAAAATATATAAAAAAAAAATCGATACACGAATGACTGACAAATGGCTGTTTCTACAACTACAACTGGGCTACATCATCATATCATAAAGGGAATTTAAAGAGGATGTGTAGGGAGCAAATGTCCTTGGCAGTACAAAAGTGGGTTAGGGTATTGTAACTCCAGGTCAAAGAATAACAGAAGTTGCAGACAGGTTAGCAGAAGGGCTGGAAATGCGTGGGGGTGAAGTACAGCTCTGCCTCCGCATATCAACGTGACCAAGCAGCACCTCTGACCAGCACTGACACACAGAGACCACAAACACCCAATACAGATAAATCTGCATGATTCTCATCACCCTCGCTAGGAAGAAAATACCCAAGATAAGGATGATACTGTTTGCTTTTCCACAGCAATGAGTTGTAGCTATTTTGTTAAACAGGTCGGACATCAAGTGTCTGCACAAGTACTCCAGGACATGACCTGGAATCTGCATGCAGCAGAGGTAGCCAGGTGACAAGTTGTTACCACCACCTGGAGAAAGAAGCGTTCTCATGAACTATGCAGAATGCACAACTTGGCATTTCCAGCCACTGCCACAGTATTTTATTTATTTATTTTTTAAAATTCAGTTACAGACTATCTGCACCTTTGGCCACACTGACCACATGCCTTGGAATAAAGGATCACATTTTGCATGAAGTATTACTATCTCTCACTGGACAAATTCAGGGTATTTCTACTCAAAGCAGTTACTTTCCACTTTTCTGCCTCTGATTCAATCATTAGAGTCCCTTTAAAAGAGTATTTATTGATCACATTTCCTACAATATGTAATTCTGAGAATTACAATTAGGAAACGTAAATAACTGATTGTGCTGTCAGATGAATCCCATATTATTCACCTGCCAGGTTGAGAAAAGCCACTTACAATTCATGGGCTATTTCCACAGGACACTGTGTGACACTGGCTATTAGATCAATTCCCACTCGTGTATTTAAAGTTCTCTGAAACTCCAATGCCTTTATCAAATTACCCTCCTCAGGCTTTACATTAATTAAGGTCTTTTCAGACATTTTCCTTCTGGTTAAATGATACCAAATCCTCTCTTCTTGATGCAGTTTGTTGTTTTGGTTTAGTTTTTTTTATAATAGCTAGCATTTCCCTTTTTCATTTTACACATTTTCAACCGTTTTTTCGTTTATAGTCCCCTGTTACTGAAGGCTACACGAACTCTGTATAGGCCTTTGCGCTGCTCTCCCTTTGCATACTTTTTCTTCCTTTCTTGCCTTCTATGTTAACATTTATACAAACACAAAATCTGCATTTCTACAAAATCTGCAGAAGTATTGAAAAATTAAGGTTGGAAGGGACCTCAACAAGATCACCTAGTCCAATGCCAGTATCTCAAAATATTAGTCACACTAAAAACACGTGAAATTTCCACAGTCAACTGTGTATTAGATGACCAAATTCAGATGCAGATACTTCCAGCTTCTGGTTGCCATAGTACTGAGAACACAGTATGAGAATTCTGCTTAGTCTGTCAATACCCTGTATTTCTACAGCGCCTTTCGGCAAAGGACAAAATTAGCAGTCCATCCCCTAGCCTGCATATTTACAGTCTAATACTGATAACTCTGTCACAAGCGCCATTAATCAGTCCAATGCCAACTGCTGGCATTTCATCTGCAAGGTCAATTTTTATACAGAGTTGAACAGTCTGAGTTTCAGATAACCAGGCTCAAGCATTTTTCACAATCGAAGATTATCGATGTATTTTCAAAAGGAATATACATCACCAAGCTAGAAAAATGTTAGCAGATCACCGAGACTTACACATCATCTATATCACTGTAGAGCGTTCATACTTGTTAGATACTACTGTGAAATAAATCTTGCATCTTTGATTTTTTTTTTTGGTGTGTAATTGTCTCATTTGTTAAGTTTTTATAGTAAAGCCTATCCTGAAAACAAAATTCTGAAAACATGTAGAATTTATAAACTGTGTGCAGTCCCACTTGCATAAAATCGAGGGATCTAAAAATCAGTGTGAGCAATGAATTCATACCTATTACTAGGTGAACTTAATAGCCAAGGTGTCAATATGGGTGGTCAAGCCCTCATTTAGACCATTAAAACGAGGTAACCAGACTAGGTGCTCAGCACCTGATCATTCCTATTAAGCTGCATGTGTGTGCTGAGCTCTTGAACACCTAGATGTTAATCAGAACATTTAAGGGTCTAAAGGTAATTCAATAGTTTCACACATCTCCACCCCACCCCCGCAAGCCAAGGAAATTATTTGGATGCAAATTAGTAAGCCACATTTCCACAAGAGAGGATAAAAGCAGTGTAAGATGAAATACAAATCCACAAGACTGTTTGCAGTTGAAAATATAGTAGCACTGTAGCAATTGTCACCTCCTAGTCAAGGCCCACTTCACTGTATGAAATCAAGTGCTCGCGTTGCAAGAGAATTTCAGCTTTTTGAATACAAGTTTCCACTTTTCTGCCAAATTGGCTTTACTACCGGTAACGTTCTTTTTTAGTTACAGGCAAAAGAGTATTTCACCCCATTATACAACATAACAATTACTTAAACTTTGTTGAGCAGATTCCAAGGGAAAGAATTTCCTTTTTGTCTTAGTATTTTAAACGAGGTCCTAACATCATTTTAACAGCAATTCAGAGATCAATAGCAAAACACTGCCATCTTTGGTTCTTGAAACGATTTTTGAAACCACTTTCAACACAAATATACATGTACAAGTGCAAAAACTGCATGGTGTTACACTTAGCTCCAACTCTACTGCAGTTTGAAGTGTTTAAACATCAGGACACAAACATCAATCCTTGGTTGCTCGTAGTCTGTTTCTGTAAGCAGCCAAACCAAATCCACCGTTTCAGCAACTGCTGCTATTCGTTCATAGTATTTTTCCTAAAGCTGCTAAAAGTCTACACTTCCATCCACCTATGCTCCAACAGGCTAGTACAGAAAAAACTGTAGCCACAAATAAATGAGCCATCACTGGATAGATAGAAGAATTTCCAATTACATAGAAAACAAGGAAACTGGCAATTGCATTATATAACCTACTCGGTTCATTTATTTAGATAAATGTAACTGCAATGTGATACAACTTTTTAATTATAGAAGCGTAATAAAAATAAAGCCTTTGTTGCTGCAATCCTGCAGTTGGAATTCCAAACTTATTCCCACTGGGATTTTCCAGCTACTGTTGAGGTGCACTGGTACATGATTTAGCTGCTTCTTTCCTAAAAAAAAATTGCACAAGGATTTCGCCAGTTGGAGAATAAAACAATAGAGAGATCATATTTATTATTCCTCACAGCAAGACTTTAATCTGATTTTTCTCATCCAGCAGTCTCACGTAACCCAAAACCATCTTTCTTGCCTTCCCCACATCATGTGAAACACAGACGAATCTGATTTTGTCATCAGTCTCCATATCCCAGTGCAAAAGCATCTAAACAGAACTCTCTCAGTTCTAGGTAAACTTCTCATATTCTTGTGTGTGCATATACATACACAAATCCAAGAGTTTACCATTTTTGGATAGTTAGAAACAGTTATCAACAGTTAAGTCTTAAATTTAAATTTAACATTTCCCAAAGTTATATGCGCAGAGTTTTCACTGAAGGCTGTAGGTCTGCTGTGTGTCCTTCACTGAAAGCGTTATAAAGAGGGACCGTGGATCCTTTCTGTTTTTGCGGACTGTTACCTTTCCTCTCAGGGCCTCTCCTGCAAAAGTAAAAAGGAAATTACTACGCTTACATTACTGAATCATGCACAGTAACAGCAAAGATGCATTACATACCCTTATGTTGCATGAGAAGCTGTTCCTAATTAATCAGAATTAAACAAGTCTACAAAGGTTTCCTTTACGTTTTCGAAGCTCTAAGCAATGGTCTTGACAACAAACGTAAGTCAAACTAACTGCAGTTAAACCTGGTGAGGTGCTGAGTTATGTCTGATGCTTTACTTTTCAGATGACCCACCCAAAGAGCTGATATGCCAATTATTTTACTTGTGATTGGGGAAAAACACTGTATTCCTTGGATACATTAACTTCTTTGTATCTGGTTGTCCTGGTTTCGGCTGGGATAGAGTTCATTTTCTTCCTAGTAGCTGGCACAGTGCTGTGTTTTGGATTTAGGACGAGAATAATGTTGATAACACACTGATGTTTCAGCTGTGGCTGAGCAGTGCTTACGCTAGTCCAGGACTTTTCAGCTTCCTGTGCCCTGCCGGCGAGAAGCTGGGAGGGGGCACCGCCAGGACAGCTGACCCAAACTGGCCAAAGGGATATTCCATACCATGTGACGTCATGCTCAGTATATAAACTGGGGAAACGTCATGCTCAGTATATAAACGGGGGGGAAGCTGGAGGGGGGGCACAGCCACTGCTCGGGGACTGGCTGGGCATCGGTCAGCGGGTGCTAAGCAATTGCATTGCGCATCACTTGCTTTGTATGTTCTTTTATCATTAGTATTATTTTCCCTTCCTTTTCTGTCCTATTAAATTGTCTTTATCTCAACCCACGAATTTTACTTTTTCCCCCCCAATTCTCTCCCCCATCCCACTGGGGTTGGTGAGCGAACGGCTGTGTAATGTTTAGCTGCCTGCCGGGTTGTTAAACCACAACACTGGTTGAGCTGGATCTGCACATCACTCCTTAGCATTTCCAGTCACATACAAGTCTCAGCTGGACAGGTACTAAGTGCCATTGTACTATTTCCCCCCCATCCCCGAGCTTCAAATACCAACTCATTTTCTCATGAAATGATATAAAAGGTCTTCAAATTCTTGAACATTGATTTCCATCCATGAAGTAAGCAAATTATTAGCAGTAATAAAACAGTATAAAAAAGCAAAATCACTAGTCCACAAAATTTATTATTGCATTATTCCTCTGCTGAGCTCCCTAATTTAAACGCATCACTGCTATCAACTTTGAGTAAAACCAAGTTACCACAAAAACCTACTCCACTTCCTACTGCATATGCCATGCGGTTTATATTTGCACTGCATTTCACTTAAGCTCTAATCAGGTAATGTTTTTGTCTGGCAGGAAACATTAACGCAGAAATCTTCACAGCATTTCAAGTATAGACATTATTAATAACAAGTTTTGTTTTACAGACTGTCAGGCTTTCTTGACCATAACACTTGGCATATGTGTGCTTCAGCTAAAACCAGAGAGAAGGCTTTCACACAGAAGGAAAGAGCTGAGAGACATCTAGAGAGGCACAACTCTCACTTTTGGTGGTACTAAATTTAAGTAAAAGCTTTTGTCCTAGAGAAATTGCAGGCCTTGACATTTCTGTTTAACATTTTGTCCTAGCCTGCGCTGATCAAGCCTGGTTCCATCCCCACAGCAGCTACGGTTCCACAGCACATCAAGTTCTTCCACATTTATTCTTTACATAATACAAAGGTCTGTTCTAGCTTTTAAAAGCACTTTTGGATTCTGAAATAAATGAGGAGAAAAATTAAACCTGCTGTGCCGGCTTAAGAACTTGTGTATACTTTCTAAGAAGAGATGTTTTATTTTTCACACACAAGATAGGAGATTATTTGTGGATCTGTAAATCCAGTTCCATGATCTAACAGTCCATTTTATCGTCATGCGAATGTACTCAATGGATAAGATGTGAAAAGCCTTTATAGGTATGCAACCTTCCAAAACTTTATACAGGACTAAACGAAGGGACAGTGAACCCATTTCTCTATAGGCACAGCTGTTCTTAACTTCTTTTTTCCCCACATCTAAGATCCTTATAATAAGAAGATAGCAGAAAACTAGATCTACAGATATTAGGAGCTCCAGGAACTGATTCATGCTATATAAATTTGAGACAAGACTTATAAGTTTGTATCCATCATGTAAAAGTCACACAAACTGAAATCCATAGCCAATTCCAACTAGTCACAGGATTTACTATTTGCTTATTTGAAAGCTTTATTTAAAAAGTAGTTTTGAGAGATCAAGCTTTCAACAAGGTTCTTGATTTCCAGATACGTAAGGAGCTACTTCAATTAACAATATGAATATTTTTGAGTATTAAGCACAAATTTACTGAGAAGGTGGTACAGGAGGACATTAAAGAGAATTTTGTGTTCTTACTAGTGTTCATCTGCTTCCCCCAACCCCCATTCCACGCCCCAACAAAAAGCCAGCAAAATCCATGTTCCCTGGGCAGTGCCATAAGATTCTTCCAGACTTGTGTGCCTAACTGGGAAGCAGGGGGGTAACAAAAACAAAAGCCTCAGATCTCTGCAGAGCAAAGGCATGGGGTACAATTGCATAAATCTCCCTAAACCATATACAACTGACATTTGGGCTACATCGTCCCCACTTGAAGATTTTAGCTTCACATCTTTAGTTTCATGGAAAGAGAAAAACAACAATCAAGAGGTAAAGAAATGGAAGCAAACTGCAGACTTATTTGCAAATGCAAATTTGTTTGTTGATATAGACATACATGACTGAATGTATTAACGTTACATATGTATGAAAAGATTACTTTTTAAACATCTCAGTGTTTGAAATATTTATACAAACGGCAATTTCAAGTACGTATGTGTGAAGCATGGCTTCCTGATTTTGGCGTCTAGACTAAAAGCCTGAAATCAGAAGGTTATCAACATCTTTAAGTTTAAGGCTTTAAGTAGAAACGGCTAGATTTGTATGTTTTTTTGAACTACCTAAATACTTATAGTGCACTGTGCATCAGAGATTGCTTCAAACTCAGGTTAGCACAGGAATGATTTCAGACTTGTCACATACAAAAATAAACCATAGTTTTGAAAAGAGCTCAGATACAACCTGGAAGCTGAACCCAAATACCTTCAGGTTAGTATTTTATATTTTATTTATTTACAAACAAGTGAAATGCAACGGCCTGGACTGCAGAGAAGCAGAATGGATTTTTAATTTTTAAATCTGACAATGTGTCAAGTTTTTAAATAACACCATATTCATGTTAGAAAAAATAAAACAAAACTTTAAGCCAACAGCATTAACATTTTCAAGTAAGGTATCTGAAATGACGTGCCCCAGCAAGAGACTAATTCTGAAGCTGGAGGACGTTCACCTCCTATAACACGCTGAAGGACTACAAGAATCAGGATATCTTCTTTGGTGGCCTTCAGTCAGATACTCGAAAGGTCAGCTACAGCTCAAACTTTTATGCAATTTACATGTCATTGCAAAAGCTCTGGAATGACAAATTCTGTTCCTATAGCCTGGCTCTGGCTTGATGACCAACATACACATTGCATTCTTTTTATCTTTACGAAACTAGACACTCAGTAAGTATTCTAATATCTGAAGAAAAAAATATCCACAAATAACAGACGTTGCCTCATATTGCAAGGAAATACTACCTATACAGGCTTTTTAGTCTTGTTTTTAGTGAGCTTACTGAGCAGATCTCTCAATTTCATTATGCTTTTGTGAAGATTGCTGCTTGCAGTTACTAGAAAAAACTAATCTCAATTTATTTTCAATCCTTAATAAGACCTGCGATTTAAGTTATATTTGTAAATATTCAGGAAGCCCATTGCTGAGCCATTTCATACCATCCTTTTAAAACCACACGAACTATATCTAAGCAGATGATTCTACTAAACACATTATAGGAGGGCATGATCTCCATCTACAGCAGTAAGTTCTCTGCTACTCTTCCATTAGGCCTCCCTTGCCCCATTCATCTTCATCCCTCACACCAGCCACATCCACCGTTACTACTTTTTTATCTCAGTGGATCCAAAGTATGTCCCGGCTGTTCATTACTTACTGTGCTTTTAGAAGCCATTGTTTGTGTTCTGTTAAAAAGCTGACATTTTCAATATTCTTATTGCAAAAATGAAAACAAATAGCAATTCGAAAATTAAGCCGTTTCAAATTCAGTAAGAATTTTAGCATTCTCCATTTGGCACAATTCTCAGTTGCATCTACAAACAGTAAACTGACATAAGATCCACATTATAAATAATAAATGCAGGACATTTTGTCAAAGGCTGCAGTATAAACGTCAAAGAAAGCTTTTCAACAAGAAAGACTGTGGTACCAATACTGTACAAAAGAAAAAATACATATTCTTTGATAATTTTGTATTTTTTTCATAATTTAACAGTTAGCTGGAGATTGCAATTCCTGTGCAGCTTTATTATTAGGACACAAATGACTGACATAACACAGTGCAATTTGCAAAGAATTGTGAAAATGGTTTCACAGATTATTTAGACAGATTTGCCAGGTAGAAGGACAAGGTAAAGAAAAAAGGGCATTATAGCTTCTCTCCAGCTAGGAAGTTTAACCTAGTTTGAATATACAGATTTTCAGAACTGCTACAAAATGAATTATTTGCTATATTTTAACATTCCATAGCAACAGTTCTTAAAACATTCAGTAAGACTAAAAGAGCCTCTGAGAACTAAAATTCCACAGTTTCAATTAATCCTTACTTCAATGTCACCATTTAAAACATTAGTACAAAGCAATACAATAAATGAAGTAAAAATCTAATTTCATAAATTATAGCTGACTTCATAGAACAGAACCCTCAGATTCTGTTTGTAGAGGCAGTTAATGAAACAAAGCATTCCATTTTTCTCAGCTATTTCTTATGCAGCAACCGCATTAAATCTGCCTTTCTAAACAGTCTTTTCTGAGGGCCGAAGCAAACAACAGCAGTGCAACCAAGTAACAGAGAGGCAGTTCTGAACAATTAAT